CACCCTGAACCATCACAGACATGTATAAATGTGGGCTGGGGTGATGGCTCAGTGGGTACAGTGCTTGCAAGCGTGAAACTATGCAATGCCAGATGGAGCAGTGCATGTCTCTAATCCCAGCCCTACTACTGCAAGATGGGAGGGAGAGACAAGAGAATTCCTGGAAGGCTAGCTAGCCTGCTGTATGCAGAGGCAGAAAGGAAGGAAAGATAAAGAAAGAATATTTGTATATGAATTTTGTGGGGAGACAAAATGTATAATTTCTTAAGATTATCAGATATATATTTGAGAGTTGGGCATGGTTGTGCATGCCTGTAATCCCTGCATGAGAGATGGAGAAAAGAGCATTAGGAGTTCAGGGCCAGTCTAGTATAGGCAAAAAAGTAATTAAACAAACAATCCCAAAGTGTATTGAACCAAGGCTTAGCTAGACCTGTTGGGTAGAACACTGATTCCCCATTTGGTGATGGCTGTTTGCTAGGCCCACATTGTAGGGAGTTCTGAGGATGTGTGTGCTACTCAGATCTTGAGTAGAGGTTGATACTGCTGAAGGTTGTACAGAGCACAACATAGTTCTCCCACACACCTCAAACCAGAATAAGTATGTCAGCAGTGTTGAGGTTTAGAAACCCACTGCTAGACTCAAGACTTAGGACACATAGAATGAATTTAACATGATGTTATACAAAATATTGGTATATATTGAAAGAGGGAAATAAATTATTCCTCCTGTTACAGCATGTTTTGTAACTAATTATAAAGGATCATAGTTTAGATGCAGGAGCAGCCAGATCTCTTGAGTTCCAGGCCAGCCTGGTCTACCATTCAAGTTCTAGGACAGCCAGGACTACACAGAGAAACCCTGTCTCAAAAAACACAAAACAAAACAGAATCGTCTTTGTGTAGACTCCTGTCTGCTTCTAATTTGTGTGTGGGAGGCTATGAGCAGTGGGAGAGGAGTGTGTGTGTGGGGATGTTTGAGATATAAAAGTAGTCGATGAAATCATGCTGACCTAAGTCAGTCTGGGAACATCAAGTCACAATCCACTGAAAGGCTTTCTTTTTGTCCCCCAGGGGAGGATCCTGAAGAAGGATGGCCAGCTCTAGTTCTCAAGACATGGTCTGTGTAAGTTGACCTTTGTCTCTTTACATAAGGGGACTTTCAGGTTAGGTGAGTGTGTGCTGTCTTCCTCTTGTGAAACTTCCTAAGGACCTGAAATCCCCCAGCCCAGTCTGCCCCATTACAGTGAAGGTTGGAAGACCAGAGCACTTCTGTCTGGGGCTCTTTCCTGCTGGTTCTGGAGTTTGCTTTGAATGCATCCCTGCACATCTGCTTTCTGCTTGGTCTGTGGTCAGGGAGGACTGTCGTTGCAGAGGAGGTGACAGTCCACAGGGAAGCAGGGTCTTTGGGGGTTTCAGAACGTTGAGGTGATGGTCTCCTTTGACTGCACTGGGAATCCTGATCGACATCTTCGGTGTTTTCAGGCTGATGACACAGGGTTTGAGAGTGAATGGCCTTGGTGCATGTGTGTGATGAGATGACCTGCTTGAGGGGCTTTAAGAGAGTTCAGTGCTGAGAGGGAAAGGTCATCCAGGCTGTGATTGGGAGGGGACTGTCGTCTCCAGAGTCCAGGAAGACCTGAGACACACTGTTCACCTTGAAAGTTTTTGTTAATAAGCCAGTAATATGAACCCTTACATAGTTTACAGACTCTTACATAGTTGCAAAAATCATTTTTGTGACAAAAAAAAATCTTACTGATATCATCTGATACCATAATAAACTCAAGGACTCACACTATTTCTTAGGTAGTTTACACTGAACCCGGGTGACATTTCTCTCTTCTGGTCTGTAACTTGAAGGGTGTGGATAGAATGGAAATGCACATTTATTGAATGGGTAGGGTGTGTAACGTCATCCTTTACTGGGGGAGCTCGTGCAGTCAGGTACTTTGAACATTTCCATGTCTTCTTCCTGTTCTTGAGTCCTTTCACTTCTGATTTTCCCTTGAACATTTCCCCAATTTCACTCTACTTGTGTTTGTGGTTTCAGGGGTCAGTGACATTCAGAGATGTGGCTGTTGTCTTCTCTCGGAGGGAGTGGGCCTACCTGGATGCTTCTCAGAGGGTCTTATACAGGGACATAATGTTGGAGACCTACAGCAACCTCGTCACAGTGGGTAAGGCCATCTGTCCCCATGAAGGGGGGATGTGCTCTCTACACTGTTGGCTTTCCTCACTCTGAATGAAAAGACAGGGCCATTTTTCTGTGGTAGCTGAAGCTGGTCTTGGTGGCTCATGGCTGTCATTCCTTTACTCATAAGCCTAAGGCAGGAATATTGTTGTGAGTTCAAGGTCACGCTCAGGTACACAGAGAATTCAAGGCTAACAGGGTGAGGCCCTTTTTCAAACAAAACAAACTAACATAATGCAATAAGTAAGCAAATAAATAAATCAATAAATATAATTAGGGAGTAGAGAGACATCTTGGTGGTCTGTTCTTGCAGAGTACCTGGGTTAATTCTACCACCAGAAGGTGACTGACAGCCATCTGTAATTCTATTTCCATAGGGATCTGATGCCTTCTTTTGTCCTCTATGTGCACATACATGCATGTGGTGCATACTTGTAGACAGATCCTCACATAAAGGAAATTAAAGTCAATAGAATTTTAAAGAGGTAGCTGAGTTCCTCCTCCTTCCCAAAGGAATATTGTGAGATTTCCTTGGTTGAAAACAGGAGCTTCATGAAGCACCTGCTTTTAGTCCACACCTTGGAGATCCTCTCAGTGAGCTCTGGGTTCAGGGACAGATGCTGTCTCAAAAACCAAAGTGGGGAGCAAAGATGAAGAAACTTCACACTGCTCTCTGATCTGTACACACACACACACACACACACACACATGCATGCTTATACACACTTGTGCACACACCCTCATAAAAACATAAATATACTGTACATGCATGCATACACAACTAAATAAGAGAGTCTTTATGATTTACTTACTAGTGAATCAATAGAATCAATTCAAAACAGAAGTGGACACAGTGGACACATTCTGTTTCCCTCAGCGAACACTTCCTTTACCTACTTTGTTGTGGAAGTTTGAGGCTGTGAATTTTTCATTGAGCAAATCTGTAAAAATGAGGTCCAAACATGAAAGAAGGCAACATAATTAACAATAATGATAACAGTTTTCATGGCTGGCGATATAACTCAGTGGTAGAGCATTTACACAGCATACTCAAGGTTCTAGTTCAATCCCCAGCATTAGAAAGTAAATAAATGGAAATTTTAAAAAATGATATTGTGTTACTGTAGGTCAGACAGTGTTCCAAGTACTTGAATATACTACTTAGTCTTAGTATCAGCCCTATCTAATAGATATCAGCAAAATTATTATTATTGTTGTTGTTGTTATTTGGTGTTTTGAAGTCAGGTCTCATGTAGCATAGGCTGGCTTTGGAGTTCCTATGAAACTAAGGCTGGTCTTGAACTTCTCATCTGCCTGCTTCTACTTCTCAGGTGTTGTGATTTCATGTGTGTGCCACCATGCCCAGTTTTTATATGGGGAAATTGCTCATGGAATCTTATGAGAATTTTTAATGGCATTGTTAGTGAGCTGCAGAGATGAAGTTTACACTAGACAGTGTAGCATAAGGGTTCATGTTCTCCCCCACTATATGTGCTTCTCCTTAAATGACAAGCCCCTGTCGGCATTTAAATGACATTAAACCCTTTTCTGAAACAGCTGGTTTGTCACCCAGCTGGTTCTTCTCTGTCTTCTCTAAAGTCTTTCCTCAGTATTATTTAGGCTTTTTTTTTTTTAATCTCTTTTTGCATTTCAAGGGTCTTGTTATGGCTGGCTTATTCCCCACTGACTGGGCTGACAGGCATGGTCCACCATGCCAACCTGTATAGACCTTTATAATAAATAAGTCTGTATTTTTAAAAGTCTGCACAGGCAACTCATGGTGGCACACACCCTTAATCCTAGCATTTGAGAGGCAGAGGCAGGCAGATCAAGGACGTTCCAGGACAGCCTGGTCATCATATTGAATTCCAGGTCATCCTGGGATAACTAGAGGGACTGAGTTTAAAACGTCTCCACATGTCATTTCTTCTTTCTTTTAAGTGGGAAGTTCCATTTCCAAACCCGATCTGATTGCCTTATTAGAGCAGAAGAGAGAGCCCTGGATGGTTGTGAAGAAACAAACAGACAGGCCCAGCCCAGGTGAGTAAGAGGAAAGTGTATCTCGAATTATAATTGATATTAATAATAAAAACCTGGAGTCAGATATCAGAGTGAAAGCTGAAAGATCAGAGAAGCAGAGCAGCCAGCCACTAGAAAGACTTCTTACCTCTAGGAATCCTGAGACTGAAAGGGGCCAAGCTCCTGTCTCCACCCTGCCTTATACTTCCTCTCTCCACCCAGCCATATCACTTTCTCTTTCCTCCTCCCAGGTGCTGGGATTAAAGGCATGTGCCTTCCAAGTACTGGTATCAAAGGCATGAGATCCCAAGTGCTGGGATTAAAGGTGTGTGCCACCACTGCCTCACCTGTAATGGCTAGCTCTGCACTCTGATCTCTAGGCAAGCATTATTTGTTAGAGCACAAAGAAAATATCACCACAGGAAGACAGGGCTCCAGAATTGCCAGGAACAGCATGTGGTCAGAGAATCGCCTCATGCCTGACACTGGGTTGACTTACTTTCTTCACATCACTAATGCCTGTGGAAGAACATGCCTGAGACCTGGGAAGGAAGTTAAGGTTGTAGCAAAGGCTGTCACAGGGCTTCTAGTTCATGAGTCACTAAGTTGTCCTCACCTTTTTCCCTCTTATTGGAGCAGTTACCCTCGTTCTATTATTGTAAATGTATTGCATTACTGGTTTTGTGTGTGTGTGTGTGTGTGTGTGTGTGTGTGTGTGTGTGTACACATGTATGCAGGTACCCAAAGAGGCCATAAAAGAGTGTCAGATCCCCTGGGGCTGGAGTTACAGGTGGCTGCTGGTACTAGAACCCAGAGAACCCAGGTCCTCTGGAAGAGCAGTCAGTGTCCTTAACCACTGACCCAATGATAAGACACTTTGAACACCAGTGAATGCAGGAACACAGTGAGGCATAGTAAATATTTTAATTGTATATCTTCATAGTCACTCTAATCAAGGTGTGATGGTGTGGCCTATGCCTCTAACTGCAGCACTGGGGAAGTGGGAAAGGCTGATCCCTTGTCTTCTTGACAATTTAGCCTAGTTTGCCTGGCTATGCCAAGCTCCAGGCAATGAGAGACCCTGACTCAAAAAGAATAGGTAGAGAAGCCAATGAACAACATGTGAGCATACATACAACACTGCCTTCTACCTAGCTTGGCATGGGGGCTGTGATGGCTCTTTTTGGTTGTCAACCTGACTACATCTGGAACTAACTAAAACCCAAGCAGCTGCATACACCTGTGAGTGCTTTTTTTTAATTAGGTCATTTGAAGTGGGAAGTACCGCCTTTAATCCATCTTTTGAGGTATAGATCCACCTTAAATCTGTGCTCCACCATCTGATAGCAGCCTGTAAATAGCATGTGAAAGAAGAAAGCTCTTTCATTTTGTCTGCTTCCCCTCACTCTGCTGGCAAGTCCATTCCTTTACTGGCATGAGAGACTACTTCTTCAGATTCCAGCATGTATTGAAGACCAGCTGAGACATTCAGCCTCATGGAGTGAACAGCCCCTGGATTCTTAGACTTTGTGTTGTTAGACAGGCATTGTTGGCCTGGTTGGATGACAGCCTGTAAGCCACTCTCATAAATCCCATATATATATATAGAGAGAGAGAGTGAACAGTTCTCTTCCTCTAGAGAACCCTGTCTAATACAGGAGATATATCTGTAATAACAGAGTTTGGGTGGTAGAAGCAGGAAGATCAGAACTTCAAGGTTATCCTCAGCTGCATATTGAATTTGAGGCCAGCCTTAGCTACATGAGACCATATCAAAACATGGGCTGGAGAGATGGTGCAGTGGTTAAGAGCACTTGCTGATCTTACAGAGGATCCGGGTTTCGCTCCCAATACCCAATGGATTTTCAACACCCAATGGAGGCTTTCAGTCACCTATAAGTCCAATTCCACAGGATCTGATGCTCTCTTTTGGCTTCCTTGGGTACCAGGCATGCAAATGATATACATACATATATGCAGGCGCTCACAGAAACACATAAAATAAAATAAATGAATCATTCAAAATAAACCAAAAAAAAAAAAATGCAGACAACAAGAGCAACAACAAAATCTTTTAAAATAAAGCATCAAAAAGAACTACAGTCATCTAAATATACTAATTGATAACATTAGGTGTCATGTGCTGTGTCTATGTCAACAACTACATTTTAAACATTTTCTGTTGACCTATTTGATGGTAAGTCACTAAAATGACACTTGATTCTAAGTATTTCATGTATCCATTGGTAGGATATTATCCACTAACAACCTTCCATCAATCCTCGTTAATGTAAACAACCTGTTACTATTATCCTAAGAAAATTACGGTCTCAGGAGTATGCTCAGAAGTTCAGTTTTTTCTATGGGTTTTCCCATTTTGATGAACATTTTTGGTTTGACTTTAGTTTTGTGGACATTTCAGCATCAGACTTTTAGAATGTATTCACTCTTAGTTTTCCTTAATCATCTTCCCAGCCTCCTTTTATTGAGAATAGATTTTTTTTCACCAATAATGTATCCTTACTATGGCTTCCCCTCCTTCTATATCTTCCCTATTTTCCCTTGCCCCTCTCATCTAGATCCACTCCCTTTCTGCCTTTTTTTTTAGAAAACAAACAGGCTTCTAAGGGATAATAATAAAATAAAATAAGCTGAAACCAAACTCCCACATTGGAACTGGACCA